AATTCATCCATCCATCCATTCATCCATCCATCCAATCCATTGATCCATCCAATCCATTCATCCATCCATCCATCCATCCATCAATTCATCCATCCATCCATTCATCCATCCATCCATCCATTCATCTATCCATAAATTCATCCATCCATCCATTCATCCATCCATCCAATCCATTGATCCATCCATCCATTCATCCATCCATCCATCCATCCATCAATTCATCCATCCATCAATTCATCCATCCATCCATCCATCTTATTCTCGTCTCTCACTCCAGTCAGCTCCAGCACACAGTCAGGAGGCCTCAGAGTAAAAGGACCGTCATCTTATCTGAACATAWACAGAGCAGAGCCCAGGCTGTCCCAGGCTGCTCTAACACAGAGACTGTACACCAGCACTAACGAAAAACATCTGAAGAAATTTATTGGGGTTTGTTTATTCACTGATTTTAAAGACACTTCACATAGTTTAGTTTTTTCTTAGGTGAACAGAAATATGTTTGTATAATGTGATTATTTCTGCTTGAACAGATGATTCTATGTGCASACTGGGTTGTTGGGCTCTTGATGAGGGTTTCACAGACTCAGGAGGCTTTTAGTTAGAAACATCTCTGGTTTAACATTTACAGCACATAAAAAGAACCMTGATCGAACATTAGTGGTGAGGAATMAATGTGTGARGTCTTGACTCCATGCAGAAACAGCCTGCCCCTTTAAGACACTGTCATGAGGCGGGGTCAGGACATGGGGACGATGGTAAATCACTGTGTATTTCCTGGTTCTGATTAGCTGGCTGTTGGGGTTTGCGAAAAATAAAACCACCACCAATCAGTCCACAGCTGTGTCGACGGGTTTTGTATGACTCACACATCACTCAAACATTCACATATCATTATTCTGAACTTGTGGTAGATCTGAACAGGTAATGAGTATAAGAACACACGTGCTATTTTTTACAGTTGGTGACCCCGACGTGATGGATGATCTTGAYTAAGCAGAGTCTCTGCTTAGAGCAGGGCTGCTGTGTTTTGGTTTTGTTTTCAGCCCYAGGCCTTACGCTGAGGCCTGTGCTGAGGGCTGTACTGTGAACCTGATTGGAGTCAGAAGATTGAGAATAAAGTTTTTAAGAAGAAATCCAGTGGGTTCCTGTTTTATTCAGACATACCATTTTGAACAATGCATTTTTTCCAACACCTTTTATAAACCTCTATAAAGATGATTCAACCGTTTAACATGTGTCTCTTTCTGGTTAACACTCCTGAAGGTGGGTCCTTTTACACCAGATGTTAACGTAACCAACTTTCGTTTATGCAGACAGAAAAAAAAAACACACAATAAGACACACCAGCTCTTATTCTCTGTTTTAAACCTTATGGCTGCAGTGATCATCAGTTAACTCACCCTCAGCCAGAGGAGTGTTCTGTGTCGGAGCAGAGTTTTCTCCCTGAGTGGGTTCTGCTGCAGGAACAGGTTCTAGTTTTACACTGGACTCCCCAGATCCATCAGCAGGGGCCTCCGCTGGAGCTTCTGTGGTTTTATCAGTGTCGACAATTCAAGCAAGAAAAAAGAAAAGAACAAACAGTTAGATTGTGMTTTATTAAGTTCTACTCCTGCCTGCCTTCTTTTTTACATTTCTAAGATTTTACTAATTACATGAAATTTTTTTAGAGACAAAGTACGCGTGACACGCATTTGTCTGTCGAATATTTTTGTTGTCTTATCATTTCTAAGCAACCAGCTAACTTTCCYTGCGCTATCAGCTGCTCCTCGTGCCTGTCCGCAGCAGCAGTCAAGTGGTGGTTACTCATGAGGAAATAATGTGTCGGCGTGGAGGTCAAGGTCAGCAAACAGACAGGGTGAGGCCGCAGACAGCTGCAGCCACGAGCTCGCAGGACATTTCTTCAACATTTTTGTTTATTAACATCAAACAATCCTCAGGACTAAATGGTGCTGGGAGACACACAACACACGTTTGTGTAAATAAGCTACYTTTTCAAAGATGCTAAAGCTTTGATGGGAGGATGCAGAGTCATTAGGAGCATGCAGCAGTGACCGCCTATGCTCTGTTTTGTGCTCGGTCAGGAGGTTCCAGGTGAGTTAGCAGAAAGCCCCGATGCACAGCTGCAGCATCAGAGTCTCCCACCTGGCTTTGATGTGACCCGCAGCTCGAACTTGACCTTCGAACCTCCGGCGATCACCGCATAGACACTGGCATCTTCCTTGGTGACAGCTTTTATAGTGAGGGAGTGCTTGCTCCCATCYGCCGTGATCACGTGTCTGTCGTCGCTGGTGAGGTCTTTTGCATCTCGCTGCCATTTGACTTTAGCATCGGGCTTCTCTGTCTCTGCTTCAAAAACCACYGAGGACCCTTCCTCGGCTCCTTGGGTTTTTGGTTTTTTGGTAAATGCTGAAACTGGAGAGGTTGGATTTAAAAACATTGCTCGTTTTTGAGATGGATGATGTCACCTTTTGGTGTAAGCAAAACTTGACAGTGTTTGGTGATGACTTATCTCTGTGTCACAATCAATGATTTGTTGATATTATTAGTTCATTTAGAAGAAAAACAGTGATTCTGCTGTTTTAACCAGTACTAGTGTTAAAGCCAGACAAAGACACACAGGAATGATCCAAAAGCAGCTGGATTTATAAAAGTGTTGTACAGTCTGCAGCACACTGGGTGGGGCTGCATCTCCTGCTCTTAATAAAACAAACAGACAAAAGAAAAGAAGTTTGTAACACGTCAGAAAAAGTAATGAGGGAGAAAATCAAAAGCCACAATCTAAAAGAAAAGAGATAAAATCATTTCTGATTACAAAGCGCCTGAGTACAAATTCTCACTTCAGATCAGGTTTTAGTTGCCTTTATAATTGCCACCTAAAAGTTTATTGTAAAGACTTATCCAGAGGTTTAGTGAACTTATCTGGAAACTTTGTCCAAATTTTTATTTGAAGACGTATTCTGCATGTTCTGGCCCCAAAGATACCAGAAGAAGAAGATACTAAACTGGTCCTTACGAACTGGTTGTGTGAGGAATTCTGAATTAAAACTAAGAAATAATTCACTTCTTAGGACTTGTTTCCTGGAATGAAATGCACACCTGAAAAGATCTGTTGTGTAGTAAATAAGGCGAGGAAAAAAAAGACAACATAATGTTTCTAGTACATTTATAAATAACCCTAAATTGCCTCAGCTATCCCAGTATTTATGTGTTTATAAGCCCATGTTACAGGCATGAAATGCAGTAGTTTAATGTAAGTAAGTAAAGTTTTATTTATAAAGCACCTTTCATAGACATAAGCTCACAAGGTGCTATACAATCATAGACAATGTATAATGACAGACATAATAAAATATCAAAAACAAGACGAAATAAACTCTATTTTAACTCAGAAACAGGTTGGAGGCAGAGCACAACAAGAGATGACTATTATGTATGCAAGACTGTAGAAATCAGAATAATAAAATGATTTCGGAATAAAATAAAAAGGGTTAGATAATTTTGATGTATATTCAATAATACAGTAATACAGTAATACACTGTAAGAATATGAATAAATAAACTAAAATTCTGAGGTGTAAAGTAATGAAGTGCATTTACTTTTGAGGAACTTTAACTTTACCAAGTATTTTTTATAATCGTATTTTACTTTTAATTCATTCAATTCAAAACGTAAAATTGATACCTTAATTTTTTTACTTTAAAATTTAACATCACCTTACATGCCTCAAATGTGATCAAAACTCATCATGAAATTTGTTTATGCAAATTAACCAAGTCATGTCAACTAGTTTCACTAAACCGAGTTGAGTACAAATAAAGCAATTTACTTAACCAGTTGACAGAAAGTAAATTCAACACTTCATTTTTTAGAGCCTGTGTACAAGTACTTTTACTTTTACCTTTATTTTACTTTCCTGATTAATGTGAGCAGTTTTATGAATATTACTTGAGCACTTTTCTTTTCAGTGAAATTCAAGTCATTTTTGCTTACAAACATGCACAAAAAGATTTGTTGAATTTACTTATGTCAAAGATTTGTCGAGTTGAGTAAATCTAACATTTACTCGTGTTACTTGTGTAAACCATTTCATTTACTCAACTTGGTTGAATGGAACCACTTGACATAACTTGGTTACGCAAATTCAATTAATTCTTTTTTGAGTGTATTTTTTTTCAAGTACTTCATACACCTCTGCTAAAATGTATAGGGTCCACAGCTATTTTTAATTGTTGGCATCTTTTTAATAAGTTTCTTGATAGAAACAGTAACTTGAGGTATGAGATGAAACCCTCAGAAGCTCAACTAAAACCAGAAACAAGGTGAACGAGCATCATGCTGCGATGTACAGAGGGAATAATTCTGTTTCTGTGTAAAACTTTAACGCCAGCTCACATGAAAGCACCACCTGTTAAATTTCCTGCTTTATTCAAGTCAGGACAAAAAAAAATTCTCAGACGAGCTCTGTGAAGTTTTCTCTGAACCAGTTGTCYTTCTCCAAAAGGAGCCTAAAAATAGTGTAAGTGAGAGCCGTAACGGTGGATGTGTTTAACACTCTCACCATGTTCCAGGAATCCTGGAGTGGATGTTGGTGTTACACAGATCCCTGCTATTTCCAGGTTTGATTGTCGGACACAGCCTTGTGAGGTGGAACAATGAATGAAGCAACAAATGAATGAAGGAGCGACACAGTCGAGTTGTGGGAAGGTGAGTGAGGCTTCGGCAGCAGGTAGCGGAGTTAAGGGATTAGCTTGACGCTATTTTTATGATTTTAGAGGCAGMCGAAGAAGAATGATGCACCCTTCCTGTCATTCCTAAAGCTTTATCCATCAAACCTTTATTTGACACGTCYTATTTTTACTAATAATATACTTTCATTTCAGTTTAGCCTTTTTAAATCAGAGTTGGTAAAATAATGATATCTAAACACACTAAAAACCACTGCACGGTGTTAACAGCTGTAAGGGAAGCTCCAGCCTGGAGACAATCCTGACAGTTATCAGTCCTCTCGAATCCTTCACACAAGTCGGCTATTTGGACCCCGCTGTGTCATCCGATACGAGCCGATGGCCTTCTCACTCCCCATCCCGCCATCCATTCTCACTCAGCACAAAAGACGGCTTTGGAAAGTCATTTGTCGGGACAGAATCCCGTCGGGAGTTTTGRTTTTAATCGGGGGATTGTTTGGTGAAAGCAGAGATGRTGGAAATGTGTCGGTGTCGTGTTTCCCATCATGCACTGTTTCCACCTGGACCGTGGCGACAAGAGTTCCTGGAGTGAATGAACTGCTTCCCACTGGAAACTCTTTGAACTCAGAACAAATACAAGCAGGTGGAGCGTTCCTCTTTTGCCTCCTTTAGCAGCTTGTGGCAGCTTAATAAACTGAGGAATGTATTTGTTGTAGAAGAGCTGAAATGARGCTGCAGGATTCACTGTGACAGATTTCAATCCTATTCTAACAGTTCACTTTAAGCATCCTCCTATTTTAGTTCATCTTACATTTAGCACATAACGATGCACAAAACACTTAATTTTAGTGTTTCAAAATGTTCATTTTTGTTGTAAAACTGTTGCACTCCAGTTAATATTGTTTAAAAAAATCAAGTAAAATCTTGGTGTCTTATTAGTTTCCAGGCAAATGCTATATTTCACATGGAAATGTTTTTGTGCAAGTCTCATAATTTTGGTTTTAAATTTGAAAATTCTGGTCCAATCAGAACTAAACACTTGCATTAACCTTTTCATATATAGCACATAAGATGTTGAACGTATAAATAGATTTGATGCTGTAGATTTACATAAAGATTACATCTATGATACAACAAATCTCGGTTCAGGTAGAGATGATTCATTGAACTATATTAAAAGCAACACGGCTAAATAAAGACTTACCTGTTTTTTTGACCGGCTCTGGCATCCTGAAGGCTCTCTGTGACTCGCTGTTCCTGAACTGTCGTCTCTGCCTGGTTCTGAGACCCCTGCCCTATGGATCACCCAGCCCACTTCTTCTGGCATTTTATTCCAAACCCAACACCCTCCCATCTCCCATCCCAGCAGTGACTACCCCCCACAGCCCCACCACCAATTTCAACCTTGTGCTATATTTCACCCATCCTCTCCTCATCACCTCGGCTGAATGACAGGCCTTGAGAGGGTGGGGGGGGAGAGATGTAGGGCAGTGGATAAATTTAGAACAAAGAATTTGAGAGATGTTCTTCTCTCCTTCTGCTACGACTAAAATCATCTTTTTAAAAACTACAATGTGTATTAAAACAATGGTGTTCCTCAGTAAGATGTTATAAACCAGTTTCATTTAGTTTACAACTTTCCTTTTGTCTGGCTTTTCAGTCTCTGACTCAGCTACAAGACTTCAAAACACGGCAAACACTCCTTCCATACTGTAATAAGTTACACAATATATATTTATTTAATAGAATTAAAGGAGTAGTTAATAGCTTGCTAACAAGATAAGCTAACATTAAACAACTAAACCACTGGATCATCAACATAACTAGAGACTGAAACAGAAGCTGGATGTTGAAGCCACGAAGGACAAGCGCCCCCTTGTGGCTGATGTCAGTACACTCTTACCACTTCATGTAAAAATAATGGAATATTTTCCTGATTTAAAATTAAAAATAAACTTCAGATTGTTTTCCTGTGGAAGCCGAGGGCAGACTTTTTCCACAGATAATTGTTTTCCGTGTTTTTCTCATGATAACAACATATTATGTCGTTATCATGAAACAAGATGAGRCTTTTCTTGACATATTGAGTCAGTATCCTCCGCCAAGGGAGGAGGTAATGTTTTCTGTCGCATTTGTCTGTCTGTCATTCTGTCTGTCTGTGGACTAAATTGCTCAAAAACATGTGGACAGATTGTCATGACATTTTTACCACATGTGTGTATTGGCCAAAGGAACACACCAACAAATGTTGGTCATGTTCCAGATCACAATGCAGATACAGGAATTTTTCTTTTGAGTGAATCAGCCAGGCTAGGCAAAGTGTCATTACGTCAGACGCATGTCTGTAGGAAACAGGAAGTGACGTCACAAATTCACTGGCACTACACCTCCCGGGATGTTTACTGTCGGGGAAGTTGTGATTATTCTGTTATCAACTAGTATTGGTGATGTTACCTGCTGTCTGGAGACGTAGAGAAAGAAATGTGATTCTCTTCACGTTACGGGAATAACAGAAGACACCGACAGCGGGGGAGGGTCCTGCTGCTGCCGAGCTGAAGCCGGTACGGTGTTCTGACGATATGTGTTACACCGGACCYGTACCGGACAGCAGGAACCARCACKTGAGGTACCCCCTCCACATAAGAACTTTATTGTGTGATTGGTAAGAAGTTTGTGGGAGTGTTTGTTTGTGCTGAAAGTGCTCAGACWCTGTATTTTGCTTCAGCCACTTGAAAAAAAAGGCGAGTCGCTTCCAGAGCGACTGWACCAGGAAACATCAGTTTATAAAGATAGTAAAACCATTAAAAACTCATAAAAGGGGATAKAACAGATGTTTTACATGGTGGAATCTGACTGATAAAAACTTAGGAGCTTAATCRGGGACCAGTTTGTGGATGAATAACATCGGGTGACGAGACTCTTACTTTTATTTCACATTGGACTCCACTTGGAAAAAATTCTGTGCATAATGCCTGCTTAAATGTTTGCTACCTCAGCACTTATTTGGCAAATGTGTTTCCGTCTCTCTTTTTGCGCATTAACTCTATTGCAGGATGGGGGAAACTGGCCTTAGCGGAGGTTTGCACTCTCCGAGTGCTTCTAGTTTCCTGATGGTTTTCTTGAGATAACAAGTTATGTTTGTTTTTGTTTATCATTTGGTAACCATGAAGACGGCCTGGTCCCCTCAGCTGGATAACTGCATTGTACAGTATTATCTCAAGGAATCACTCATCTTTATTTCATGATAAAGACATAATATGTTGTCATCACGAGAAAACCATGGGAAAAAAAACTGTCTGCAGAAAACGTCTGCTCCCGGCTTCTGAATTATTCAGGTGTTGATTCTTGTTAACTTATCAATTTCTTACTTTGCTGCTTAATATTCAAATGTGCATTTTACCCCAACATGTTTAGTTTCAGTTGGCCTAAAAACTGATGTTTTGGCTTTAGTTCTGCACAATTCAAGTTAAGGACATAGCTTCATCCATCTTTATCGGTACTGATTAGCGGGATAAATAGCATAGTTATTCAGCTAAAAAGCTAAATTGGATAACATGAAAATGCTCATCATATAACTGTCATTTCTCATCATTAGAAATAAAGGGCAATAAACATTACAGTAAAGAACACCAGGTTTTTAATTTTGGCTGATTTTAGATCCACCAGATGGCTGCTAAACTGCTGACTCATCAGAATAAAACATCCTGTCTAATGGCTTACATGTGTACTAAACTTTATCAAGGCATATATCTGAAGCTTACAGGAAGTTCACATATTTGAAAAGGACAGTTGATAAAGTTATATATTTTTAAATCATACGAAATATTATAAAAATACCTTTTTGATTCAAAGTAGGCAGAAATCAGTTTTAAAATGTCTTTCTAACATGAGTTGAATCAGTTGATCATATTGTTTGTATTGTGTTTAACTCTGTTATTCTGCGGTTCTTCCACCTGTTAGTTGTATTCATGACCATCGAGGMGAGCTGCCGGCTCTTCAGAACAAAAATGGGGCAAGGTCAGTTTTATTTTTGCACACATTCAGCAAGAAAACAACTGTTTTGTGTTCAAATGTGAACACTTTTTTTTCATTTTAAATGAATTATTTTAACTTGAGGACTCTGATATTGTCTTATTTATTCAAAACGAGGGACATTTATGAGATTAAAAAAAAACACGTATTTTAATCTGAGGTTTTTGTTTCATGTGGTAGTTTCCAAATGGTTTTGTCTTGTTTTCATGTTATTGATCTCCCATGCTCAGTGTTGAACAACTCCTTCAGGAGAAACATTATTTAAAGTTTTCAGATTCTTCTATTTTTTAATGTGTCTGTTTATATTTTATTTAAAAAGGCTCAAAATCATAGATCAGTTTGTTGAGGGGGTTTGAACCTAAGACTTCCGTGTCTTGTTTTCATGTTAATGTACATCACTTGTCACATGAGGCATCAATGCTAACCACTAAGTTATAAATATTTGTTTATAACTAGACATCTGACCAGAACCAAGAAGCTGAAGTCGGACCAGAACCAGCTTCTTTAATTTTTTTTCAGGGGTTGAATCGTGAAGTTCTTGCCTTGCTGCTGCATGTTCGAATATCCATTTTTCCTAAAACTTATACCTGTAATTAGTTGTTTTGTACTCAAAACAATTCTTGAGCAAAGGTAGGCGGGGCTTAAAAACGCTCATCTGTGTGCAGTCTCTTAAAAACAACATGGCAGTTCTCATAAACCGAGTTTCCCAACAAGTGGAGGCATTTGTTTGTTATTCCAGCTCTTCTTGAGTTTTGTTTCTGTTAATTAAAAATAGACGGTTTATGTCATTGCCGCTTGCTGCATTCAGGTCCTTCCATCACTTGTGAGAAATAAAAGCTGTGAAGTTACGGCTTCCTTTAGTTTTCTTTTACTAATTAAGGTTTCATAAACAATGTCTCATCTTTAAAGAAATAGCATTGTGTACTGTAAGGTAATGATCAAACCACAGTTCCTGTATGAGCGGTCTGCTAGCATGAACGCACCATGTCATTGCAGACGCTTCACACCCGCTGTGAGCGGAGCTGCTGCCTGCAGCGTGTCAGGATTCAAACCGGCGCTCAGTGACGAGTCACTTCGGCTCCTCGGACCCCCATTAACCTCAAAGTTCCTCAAGAGTTTGAGGTTTTCTTTGAAATGTAATGAAAGATAATAAAATTCATCTGTTAGCTTCGTATCTGTTCATCTTTTGACACATTTCAACTTATTGCAGCCGTCTTCTCCTTTTTGGGGTTTAACACTGATGTTTGCACCCCCCCCCCCCCAAAAAAAAGAAAAGAAAAAAATCACAAAAGTCACAAAACCTTGTACACCGACTGACAATTTATTAATTTTTTTACAAGCGATTCTTATTCATACAGATTATTTTTACAGTTTATTTTCTATAATGTCAAATAATTCATCATTGCTGACTTCTGTGTGTTTAAAAACATAAACTTGCACGGCAAATAGACTGGTTTGTATTTAACCATGGTTTGGAGAACTTATTCATGTTTCACACAAGAAGTGTCAAACAGCAGAGAAAAAAAAAACCCGACAAAAAAAAAGAGACTCATTCAGTTAAAAGAAACACTTTTTTTCAGGTCCTTCAGATGAATCACCAGTCACTGAGAGGGTCTCACGAAAAATAATGCATCATTTTACAAAGATAAGTTAGAAACAGTTCATCCTGCTGCAGCTGTTACGAAGGAACAAACTGGTTAAAAACTGGAACAAAGATCTGTGAACGTGTGAATTAGACTTAACCTCCTTGACACTGTAGCTCCATTTCAAACTGGAAAGTATTGAGCTCCAATGTTAAAATTAGGATTTGTACAGAAGTGTAAAAATTCACAAAATAAATCACATTATGTTTTTTGGTTTCACAAATTTTAGACTTTTTTTTGTTCCATAGTTTCATAACCAGAACTGGTCCTTTTGTTTTTTGTTTTGTTTTTTTTAACCACAGTGAGCGATATCCTTCAGATCCAAACYGGGAAAGTCTTTGGAGACCGTGGAAGGCTGATAAAAAAAGTTTTATGCAGCTTTTTCTTGAGCAGATTAGTCCCACAGAACAGCAGCATCACTGCCAACTATATAATGCTATTTACTGACCTAGCACTGTTATTAAAAGTATCRACAGTTTGAACAAGAACAACTTCTTCTGCCTAAATATACGCTTTCCTCTCCGGATGACTCTTCCCCAGAACCTCATCGCTAAACTGGTACGTCAGCTTCTTCTTGATTTTTTTCACCTCTCCAGTTTTGCCGTAGTTGCGCAAGGCGCGYGCCATCTTTTGGTAGGTCATCTTTTTGCGGTTTCCTTTCTGGATTCCCCAGCGGTGGGCGAGAGCCTCTTTGTGTTTGGAAGAAAACTGGAATGTCCCCTTGTCTCTGTCCACCCACCAGATACTGTCCTTCATGTCGCCGTTTCTTAGCAGGTCCAAGAGGAACTGGTACAGACGGATCTTCTTTTTATTACCTTTGGAAACAGCAATGTTGGATCATTAGAACTGGTTTATTTTTGCTCATATTACTGGGGAAGTGAGGGGAAGAGGGGTTCAGATGAAAATGAATGCCACTTTAGACAAAATTAAAAAGAAATTCTCCTTTCAGCACCAGCTATTTATGAAAAATTGCTGCTAATTTGCTAAAAAACCTACTCAAACCATTTAATTACCATTAGGCTCAGCCAGATCAGATAAATGCTAAAGCAACCAGAGAAGACAGTTATCTTAAACAGACAGAAAGCAAACTATAGTGTGTTTTTCTCTGACACAGGCTGTGCGACTCCATTAATTACTCTTTAACAGACACACTATCGCATTTACGCAGACGTGCAAAATTCACTCCACTATTTTCTGACTTGAGGACAAATGGAGGTGTCGTGCTTCAGATTTATATGCTGTTTTAACGCCACCGTTCTTGGTTTGAAGCCTGCATGCTAACATTTGTTAAATATTCCACATTTTAAAACYGCAACTATTTTCTTGTTTCTCAAACGTTTTGGGTCTGAGGARCCTTTACAAGGGTGAAGATTTTCRAMGGACCCCCTAATTAACCCCTAAAGGTCATGGGAATAATGATTATTTTTTAATCTAAAGTTAAATCAATATTGTTTTGTGTTCCCACGCTAAAGTTTGTTTTGTATGAACTGAATTGAATCAGACTTTTATTTTGAAATACTGTATCTGGTTAGCCACAAGTTCGGGAAATTGACATTGATGTTGCGTGGCTCCACTGAGTTGAAATATTTTACAAACTTCCATGCGTGGCTGTGTGATATATAAAGTAGTAGGCTAACTCACTAATGGTGAGCAGGTGAATTTGTTAATAAACCGACAGGCACAACAGTGATAAATGACTTTTGCGAGGTAACACACAAAAATAAATCCTCCATGTCCCCTCTAGGGCTCTGTAGTTTTATTTTAAATTGTTCCACATTATACACTTTTTTTGGCACAGCTCGCGGACCCCTAGGGGTCCTGGGACCCCKYMTTTYAAAKRRTTTGGTTTAGCCTGTTCTTTAATTATAATGTCTGCCACAGACGGGAGTGGAAGAAAACTATGATGCATTTGAAGCATCTAGGAAAAGGTGAACTGACGTGAAAGTATTGATTTTAGAATAAATATTTTATATAGTCCTTTTTAATAAAACACAACGAAACTCTGCAACACTGCAATACACCTCTTGTTCATGCAAACATAAACCTCATAAAACATTACCCTTAAAGCCTTATTTGACTCGTAAATTGTCACATAATAAGATATTTTTGACCACATAAAGGTTTATAAATGAACATCTGCATGGATTTATTAATTGATCAAAATATCCCACTAGAGCCACACTTCAAAAGTTCTGAATTATCCCTTTAAGTTGTTAGAAATGATAAAAGCGGACAATAAAACAGCAAAAAGAAAACAATTCTTGAGAGCCGATCTGAAGCTTGTGATTCAGGATGTGTCAACAAAGTTTCCCAATGTCAGCTCACACACAATGACCTAACACATAATTCTTATTGAAGCATCTGACATGTTATTTGTTGTCATTATTCTTGTCACTGAATCTTAAGTAAGCGCAGAGACTTGACCTTTTCTAAAACAACAGTCTCACATAGCAGCAGAAAGAAGTGCACATTTAGGATGAAATGGCAGTTTGCATGCTTACCCAGCTCTCCTGATGTGATGTAAGGTACTCGATCTCTCAAACACTCTTCATCAGACACTTCCAGAGGGGGGCTCCGCCCYCCCTGCTCCTCGTCGTCGGAGCTGCGCTGGGACACGTGTGGCGGATACAAGGCCCGAGGAAAAAACGCTACCTGTGTCAACGTGGATAAAGGCAGCGTTAGCCTCAAGTTGATAAAAATGCTAATTCATTTAGTGAGATGAGCTGCTTTACAGTGGAAAGAAAAAGAAACAGTTCAGGAAGTGGGTCATGTCATTTAGTGAAGATCTTTACACTTTTATAAACAATTATTTCTTTACATTTTACTTTTTTTCACAAGCTGGACTGGAAGTGTTGTAAACTATAAATGCCCAACAGTCTCAGTCATTTGGACCAAATTTAGCAGCCACCCAAATGTTTGCAGACATCGTTTTTATCAAATAATGTTCCTGTTCTTTTCAGAAGCACAGAATCCAGCTCAGTTTAGCCTGAAGCTGTGAAGTTGTAAGAGATGCAGATTGTCTTGCTTACATTTTGCAGAAACGCTATCAGGGTTGCAGCACATGTTGCTCCAGAACTTGAACCCAATTAGCATTAGCTTACCCATGCGTGTGCCCCAGTGAGCCAACCAACACACCAACATGGATCCAGACGGTTGCCAAAACAGCACAACATTTACAAACTGAGGGATAAACTTTATTCTTTAGAGCAGGGCTATTCAGCTAAACTGCTCCAGGGGCCACAGTTACTGCAGGCCAACAGCACAGGGGCCGAACATCCAGCAATTAATGTCATTCTGTAAATAAACCAAGTATTACAAAGATCTGTTACCTTTGAAATAGTTTATTTTGCTATATAGCACACTAATTAACACATTTATTATTGTGACATCTCTGACTTGCCAAATTTTTAAACAAATTTTATTTTCATTTTCATAGTTTTATCTTCAACTGTTTGTAGTTTTAACTATTTTGGATGTTCATAGAAATGGATTTTACCAGCTTCTAGCCAAGATTRTGAGGTTTTTGTAGATACCAAAAATGTCTATGTCTAACTAAAATAACTTGTCGGAGTTAAAGTGGAAAACTGAGTATTTGGGTTTAAATGATTGTCCAATTGGCGGGCCAAACTTTGGTCARTCGCAGGCCAGATGCGGCCCTCGGGCCTCCAGTTGAATAACCCTGCTTTAGGCTACAAACAGAAGTTTTTATTTCACCCCAGCGAAGAGTTCAGCCAGTTTTATTGTTTGCCCAACATTTTGCCTTTTATGTCACAGTGTATTGCTATAAATTAATGTTTTACTTCTATATTTTTACCACTCTTCTCCCATTAATTTTTTGCCTTTATCTGTGTAAGTGTGCATCTGTTAACAAAATACTGACCTTAAAAAACACAAAATTATTTAGAGACTTTTGCAAATATTAAGCTATYAATTTGATGTGATTGAAACTGAGGCTGAACCCGACACATATTTGGACAGATTGTTGTTTAAAATGTTGCCTCTCACTGTTGGCGTTACCTCCATCAATCAACCTTATCCCATTAATAATTATTAATAAATCAGTTTTAACTGAGTATCTTTTGGATCCAAGCCAACTGAAAATGGCAGCCATGGCCAGCTGATTTCCAAAACAAAAAACTGGTCATATATCAATCAGTTTTAGGGACATGGAGGTAAAATTTGTTGTGGTGATAGTTAGGAGTCATTCACAACACATACTCCATGACTTTATTTTCCAAGTTTGACCAAYATGGTTACAACTCTGTCATTTTTCAGTACATCAGGAAGGAGGCGGGCGATGTGCATCTCTTTATTTAACCCTGCTAATAAATGTATATCTTAAAAGTTTACTACAAAGATTCTTTGTCTCTCTTTTTACAGTATCAATCACCCTTTGCTTTAATTAGACCTTTTTTTTTTTACTGTTCACACGTTTGACCCTTTGCTTATTTTTAGTTTTAAGGTTTCAGCAATGTTTAAAGAGCAGACAGGGTGGTGAGACAGATCACTTGGTGACAATTTGTCACACCATACCCCCCAAAAGTAGACACACACACATACACACACAAAAAAAATTCACTGTGCTGGTTTCTATTAAACGCTTCTCACTGTGAGCGAAAGATGGTGGCAAATTTTTCTCTGCATGAGCTGCGATGTGTGGAGCTGTGCGCCCGCACGGGCAAATCTCATCAGCCTATTAATAACGTCCTGTTAAGAAACAGTTGGTGGTGGACAACTGCATGCGAACTCCTATTATTGAAGCGTGGTTTTCACATTTTATTTTGAAATGGCATTTTACCCATGTTTTAACGCCTCTCGTTTTCACCTRTTTCAAAAAGTACACTCTGTTGTGAAACTGGAAACTAGTTTTCAGAAAAGAAAAAGCTTAAAAAAAAGGCAGTGAAAGATTGTGTTTATTATTTAGGAGCTCAAATTCTGCTTGAACTTCATTTTTTTTCTCATTAAGTGAAAAAACTTTTTATGTCTTAAGGACAAATTGTAACTTTTTCATTTTTTATGTTTGTTTCAGTTTAARGTTGAGGCTAAACTGATCCTATTGCCAAACCCAGGTAGCGTAGGAAGGTTTCAGAATGAAAATGTTGACATGTCCAAAAACCGGAGACCTGTGTTCTAGTTCACTGGTTCATTTGGTTTAAAGCAGGCAGATGTGACTTTGAATGATCTTAGCTGAGTCGGCAGAGACTATTTACAGAAAATGCTGTTGTTAAACTGAAAAAAAGGTAAAAAAAATGCCTAAAATTAAAGTTTTTCTTGTAACTCAGAGATTCACTTCCTGATTTTTGTTAAAGGTCCTTGAAAGGCCTCAAGTAGGACTTTATGTCTATTTAAAATGATTATTTACCAACCAAACACATTTTTTCACCTGTACAATCAGTAATTAAGTGACTTGTTTTAGTTTAGGTTTTGGCGTCAGAAGGACCTACTGGTTGCTGCAGCACGTGTGGATGAGCGCCGAGGTTTGGGTCGAGCAGGTTCTCTGCGTCGTATCGTATGGCGTCGTGTCGTATGAGGCCCGGCGCGTGGAGGGCCTGGACGCTCTGGAGCTCCGTGAAGTTGGTCTCCTGGAGGTTTTCGAACTCTGCCGGGTGCGCGTGGGGATGGGGGTGATAGTCCCAGTGATCTAAACACAGAAAAGGRGAGAAACGTGATAACAGCCGGGGCGGSCATTTTTTTTTTACTGGGGTCTCAGCAAAAACGTCAGCAAGAATTATAGATTTGAACAAACATTTAATGTTTAGAGTACAGTGTTACGATGTCTGGAAATTTCCTGCTTTTTTTRACCCAACAACACACTCAAAACCTTTAGTGTCAAAATAACTTAAAAAATAAAAGCAGCTTCACTCCTCAGCTGTAACTACACCATCATTCTTCTTCTGTCAGCACATTCTGTCTTCCCTTTACACATTATAAGACAACCATATCATCAAAAACCATTTTGAAAGTAAATATTAGTTATTTTTGTCTCATGCTCCCGCTCTCACCCCTTCATTTTCAGTTGTTTTGGTGTAATATTCAAAACAGTCGATTTCAAGAGAAAGTAAGCCACCTCTCACGTATTAGCAAAGCCCCTTGGGACGAAAGTCGTTCTATGTCTGTAGCTGTAGCGGCCAAAAGAAAAGGCATCTGTTTCCTGTGTTCCATARACCCATAAGTGGTGCACTCCAGCTGCACACACCCGCGCTGCTTTCTTTTTATGTACGATAAACCAGAAATGTCTGCCTTTACCACATCTGGTTCTGAACATTAATAAAAACATGAAAAAAAGCTTTTTGACTGGACGATCAAATTAGTAAAAWCTTGAAAAAAAATCACAAGAAATTTAAACGGTTCTATTGAAAATAACCTCGTTCTCTTTACGCTGATGTGTTTTTAAATATCATCCTGTTCACATGAGTTCAAATCCAGCGTAAAACAACTGTTGAAGTAAAACTCACCTGCCTGGATATCAGCGTCTAAAACATATGGGTTGTAATATTCTGCAATTTGATGTCTATAGAGGTCAGACTCGTACATTTCTTCTGTGTGCTGAAAGATGAAACAAACAAAAACATTGTTTTAAAACCAGCTTTTTTTAAAAAAGCAAACCATTTTTAGTTCCTGCTGTTCATTGTGCTGCCATTAAATGATCCATTTTTAATTAAATAATCATTCAGAGGGAACAATCCTATAAAATAAACATCACTTCTGAACATGTCTGTTTAAATGAGACCTGGTAAGCTTTGTTGTAAGAATAGTTATTTCTTGTTTTTTGCCTCCACAGTTCTGAAACTTTGGGGTTTCGTTTTCATGTCGCCTGTAGTATAAAAGACTCTTACAGTTTGTCTTTCACTCAGCTTGAAACAGAGACCACATTAAGCCATCTAATCGGAACAAAACCACATTTAATTTTCAATATTATATGTATTTTTTAAACGTTAAATGCTGCTCTAAAAGTAAACAACTCCACGAAGGGTTTTCAGCCTCGTTTCGTTTAAAGCCTACCAACAGCAAATATCAAAATGATAGAAAAGAATAATACTCACAGGGGGGATGAGGTAGCTCTCCATTCTGTATGGATGCAACATGGAGACTTCTTCTCCGACAAACCGACTCTCYGATGCTTTGATGGCAAAACGCTGTCAGAAGCTTTCAAAACTTTTGCGGCACCATTGCACAATGTTTCAAAATTTCCTCTCGCTCAACAAAAAAACAGAAAAAAAAAAACCTGAATCTCCCTATCCTCTCTTATTGTATATCTTTTCACCCCGGTTGGTTTTGAGAGGCCTTCGGTTCTATGGGTGTAAAGTGAAGCGAGGCCCCGCTGTTTGTTGGTAAAATGAAAAAGGAACTTTTAACTTCTGTAAAATGTTCTGTGGGTGGGAGCACTGGAGTGTGCCTACAAGTTCCTGGCTATTGATGATTTGTCAGAGGAGACCATGAAACTTCATTTATCTGGCTTTATATGCTGCCCCCTCCCTCAGCAGCCAATCAACACAAAGTACCCCCCTCACTGACAGTTTCTCCCCACCAAACATGTGTCTCACAGGTGATAAAAACTGTCTGCAGTGAAAATTTGATGTGGTTAAACTAGTCTTTTTTAATGTTTTTTGTATTTTTGCACATAATGCAACATTAAACTCCGATTGGAGAGTTTATTGCACAGATCGGGGCATATTTACAGACAGGATGAGTCACTTTTTAATTAATAAAATAATGAAAACAGCAGTTGTGTGAAGACAATAATGCGTAATAAGTGATAAGCTCTTTTACAAAGGTCAGTTCACATCATAAAATGATGGGTTTATTAAAATACTATGCAATGTAAGAAAAATAGCCTGAAATAATATAAAAAAAGGTTATGTTTACTAAATGCCTAATAAAACAAATAGTTATAAAAACTAAATTTTTATCTTTTGATTTTAGTCCTCTCTCATGTGGGTCTGCGTGTTTTGAGTTTTTTCATTTTTTCTTTTAGTGATGAGCTTACAGTTTCAACAGATAATTTATTTTTAAATAACGTGTTAGGTTCACTGCAGCAGAACAGGATTTAGGTGCAAAGTGTTTGTGATGAGCCTCTCCGTAAAGCATCATGCACCAAACTGCAGGCCCTGAAACTAACAAACAGAAAGTCTGACAGCTCCAAAAATGACTTCAATGGGCTTTGTCATGAAAACGGAGGTGACATACTGATCATGTGTGCATGTACACAACAGAAACACACACATACATGTAGACTGTCACACTCTGGGTCCTTTTTTAATAATATCATCATCATTTAACTTTAGCATCTCTTTGTAAAGCAAATTTCAAATCCAAACTTTAAAACCACTTTTTCATGTGAAAGCTCAGATCTTCTCACATGAGATTAAAAGGTTATGAACTGTTAGTATCTTACCTGCCGTAGATCATGTGTAGAACAACCTTTGATTTACAAGCTAACAGCTAGTGCTAACAGCGAGTGGACTGCTGCCATCTCCTGATTAAAAAAACAACAACAAAGGGATTCACTCAAACTGTTTTATAAACTTTATAACTAATTTTGCATTTTTGTAAATGCAGCAGCAGCTGGCTCTACCTCTGCTGCAGCCTGGGGAGCTCACAACAGAAATATCACAATGCCTTTTTTTTTTGGTGTTGCAGGAATAACCATTCAAACACTCAAAACGGAGGCAATCATGCATCAAGTAAGATATTGATTGTTCATAAGCTTTCCACAGAACCATTTCAGCCTCTAACAGGGCACAAGGCCTTAACAAACAAAGCTCTCAAACCTCTTGAATTAAAAAAAATTCTTCCTTTTCTCACCCCCCACACACACAGTTACACACGCACACAGCTGTGAGATAAGATGAAGATACACTATCTGTGCTGTAATCGCACCAAGTTAGATGTTGATTATGACTACAACAACACTGCAGAGCGCAGAGGAAAACCCAGCAGAGGAACTGCCCCTGCTGACAAACTGGGAAAAGAGGCCTTTTTTTCATTCACAGGCTGCTGGTGTGTGATGAACTGTACTTTACAATTTGTTTTAAAAAAAACATCAGGGCAACATTACAGTTAAATGTGTTGTTGCTGCAGCGCCGGATAAAAATAAAAGCATGTTTCCCCGGTGCCAAAATAACAGTCGAATAATTCTGTAACCATGCAGCACAAATCTGAATGTGTATTCTTAGTGCTGCTTGTTCAAGAGGAAGAATGCAGTATTGTGATAAGGCAGTGCGCTGAATAGATTACAAGCTGTGAGATTAAAATACTGAAGTTATCTCCATCTTCTAACTTGGGCCAGTATGAGTGCAGAGTTCTTGTCTACATGTAAAATTATAAAGACAAAAGGTTTTTTTCAAACACAGACAGATAGTGATTACTGGGGCCTCCCATTAGAAAAGCATGGGAGCAGAAGTCTTCATTCTCGTGCTTTTCTATCAGCACCTACGCAGAGTTGTAAAGTAATGAAGTACAAATACTTTGTTGCTGTCCTTAAAAGTAGAAATTTTGGTTATCTTTACTTTATTTGAGTAATTATTTTTCAGACCACTTTTTATTTTTACTCCTTACATGTTTTAAAAATGGCAAGAAGTAGAAAGTTGTTACTCTTATTTTATTTTTGCTTGTTTCTTATTCCAGCTTGTTATTGTTTAAAAATATATACTACATATTATAGTAGACATACTGTATACTATAATACTGTATATAGTAAATTAGGGTATATACAGTGGTGGGCAGCACTAATCTAAATATCAGCTGCACTAACACTAAAGCACTAACTCAAATATTTATGTCCCCAAATTCTAAAGCACTAATGCACTGAAATTTTTTTTTAGCAAAAGCTAATTCTAAAGCACTAATATAATCCAGTTGACACATTAAACATTCTTCAGGGTCGACATGAAACAATATTTACTGTGTGCAGAATGTTGTCACTTAGGGCTCTTGCCGGGCCAAACTGGAGTCACCCGCAGGCCACATTTGGCCCGTAGGCCTTAGGTTTGACACATGTGACCTTGTAGATAAGTGACACGTGAATAAAATGTGTGACAGCTTTTATCCTCAACTGTGAACAATGATGCTGAACAATAACATTTAAAGACCTCAGTRAGTGCTTCTAAATTTAGCCCATAAATTTAGCAAGTGCTAATCCACTAATAATTAAAAAAAATAGCAAAAGCCCTAAAGCACTAATCAGGAAATTAGTTCACCTATTAATGCTTTAGTGCTTTAGGGGAACTGTGCCCACCACTGGGTAAATATATATAAATTTGGAAAATCTAACCTCTCAGTTTTACTGAATACTTAACTTTTAATACTTAAAACATTTTTTTTACTTAAATACAAAAATATCAGATACTGTAAGACTTTTARTCAGGTAATGTTTTTAGAGGAGACTTTTACTTTTACAAAAGTTAATTTATGGTAACACACTTGTACTTTTACTCAAGTATCACTTCGAGGTACTTTATTCAAACTGTCTGTCTACCCTGAAATAAGTTTCCTCTTTATTTTTATTCTTTGTCAACAAAACAACTCTAGAAAACCCTTAAGGATTTAACATGAGATGCTTTAAATGTTATTATTTAAAACAGTTTGACAGTAACGTTCAGCTGTATATTTGTTTCCAACWGTTTTTAAAGGTTTTTGTACATAGTCCAAAAATGGCTGCTACAGCTAACTCAAAAATGTCTTTAACTCAGTTTTTTAGAGATATTTAGCTACAGTTTGATGTAGAAGTAGCTGTCATTAACCTCCAACTATACTTCTAGTGCAGGGGTCTCCAACCAGTTGCTCGTGAGCTCTTTAAAGAAGCTCTTCAGTGCTTTTCAAAAATTAGGAGAAGCAAATTTTAAGTTGTCACAAACTTTCATTTTATTCAAACCAATCTATGTCCCTTCCCCTTGGTTGTCAATCAAACAGTTTAGGGCTCAGTATGGCCGATCGGCAGACGACGCACAATTACATGGTTGTTCGGCGTTCATTTTCGCACACACTTTTCATAGCCCCTTGACACACACTGTGCCGAGCTCCTGGGAAACCCCTCCCGTCCCGCTGCGGTATTCATCGCTGCCTGYGGTTTCTTCCCACCAGAGTCTACAATGCAGAGAAAAAAAAAGGGAAGGTAATGGATGGATGGAACTTTGTTTAAAACTTCAAAATCCATTAGGGACATTTGTTAAGAAAATATCACACCACCCCCAAGAACATTTTAATGATATTCTCAAAAAGTAATCAAAGGAAGTAATCTACAGCCAGAGTCTCCCTGATTCAAGATGGCCGCCATGGCCACCTTCAGAATTTCTTCAGAATCTTTTCTGGTGGTCAGTATTGTTCCCCAGTGCGCGACACATTCACACATTAGCAGGGGGATGTTGATTGTGAGCGTCTCTGTTCAGAGAGCTGTTAAAACCACACAGCCTGAGACCGATCCGTCCACCGGCCCGTCTTAATCACTGCTGCCCCGGCAGCACTGATGACATGCACAGCAGCTTTTTCCGAGGATATTAATACACAAAGAGACCAGAACTATTTCTATCATAACTATTTTCAATGGAGCCGAAAGATAGAATCAGTTTTTTTAATGCTAGTCTGTGAAAACTCTCAGAAGTGTCTCACATGAGCTCATAAAATGAACATAACTAATCAACAAACCTTTATAATTGATTGTCGTTTGGGATTGACAGCAGTGTTAAGGCTTTTTAAAACATTTTAAGTTGGCAACAATTCATTTTACTCTAGGCCTCGGTCAGATTTGTCACTTGTTAGCTTGTTAGCTTTTATTAAAAATACATTTTATTTCTCAGAACTGGTCATACAAAGAGCCTCTGCAGCTAAGACATTAAAAGATCCAAACCTTCCAAAGAACTCAACTTAAAGTGATCTGATCTCACTTYTATGCTTTTATAAGCTGTATGAGCAGCGTGATGAATAATTTAATCCTGATGAAGAGGGAAGAAGAAGATGTTTTCCAGATGTGGCTGTTTGAACTTCAGTACCTTCATGGATGAAATGCAAGTTACCAACATCAGATCTCTAATGGACCCTCATACCATCATGGACTTCCAACAGAACAGATGCTCCCTCTTTTCTTTTACCCAAACACAGTCTCTGTGTCTTCTTTATGTCGGTCAAAGTCTATTATTTGCATTGCAAAAGTTTGAACTGACAGTTATGTTCATTAAWACAGAAATTTATTTTTTAGACAGTTGATGTTTGAGGGCCATATAATCCCAACTAAATCCTAAAGTTTTCAGACATCTGCATATTCCTTTATTCCTGTCYTTTTAGACCAGGACTCAGGGTCACATGAGCATCATGGTGGCCCTCAAAGGGCCAGCTGTAATGAGCTTCCATGTTTCGTGTTTTAACGTCAGCTAGACAAGAAAGATCACGTTACTCATCTCTTTGCTACTGTTGAGCATCGCTAACAAACAATAACTGAGCTCTACCTGGTATTTCCAGCATAGAAACAGCATTTTGACACGTCCTCTTATAAACACTGAAAAGTACTATGTGTACGACTGACTAAACGTGACATAAATAATACAGAAACACTATTTATAGTAAAATTATAAGACAACTCATCGCTGAGTTGTGATGAGTAGCCGCCATCTTGAATTCTGAACTCTCCCCCTTTCCAACTGAAGGTGGTGTTCCAGTTTAAATTTACGAATTGTAAGTGGGAAATTCCCACATCTCATTATAACTGGGCTGCAACATATGTAGCCAGTAAAAATGCAGTGAAATGGAGATTTTACTCGGCAAGTATTACCTACTGCCGGCTGCTTTCGAACTCTGTGCAGCCCCACCTAGTGGTGGGYCGTGTCATTTTGTGGGTAAAATAATCGACATGCATTCTGGTAAGTTTATGGTCAGTGCTTACTGTAAAGTAGCATGTGCTTATTTTAAAACATTAATACATCTTTGGAGATCTCGTGGGCCACATAAAACGCTGTGGCGGATCACATTTAGCCTGCGGGCCTTGAGTTTGACACAAGTGTTTTAGAAGATTACAAACACAGAACGCAGAAAACAAACCAAAAAGTGATAAATCCAACATAAAACACAAAATATTACGAGAAAACTACAATCACTGACAACTCCCTGTTTTTCAGCTTTTTCTGATCGTGTCATTGGTCCTGTTGAGACATCGTGGGCCATTTTGACTCAAGGGGAGCAGAAGGGTTCATCTGCTTAGCTGTGAAATATTTGACCAAATTTTATTGTTGTTTTACAGATTATCTTTAGCACAAAAATAATTACTTTAGTCTTTTGATGCCCTTTCATTTAGCATCTTTTCTTTGTATTATTGGTCACAAAATAAAGCTCATAAATGATTTCATGATCAAAAGCTTAATAGAAACACAGTTGTATTTTCAAACTGAGCATCATAAAGCTGGTTTAAGGGCTGCCTCATTACACTATGGTTTTAATAAAATCAATATTTAAGATGCTGTTTCTGGATGCTCAGAACCTTTTTGTTACTTAACTTTGTTTCTGTGAAAACCTTGTTTGCCACAGTGTCTGGTTTTCTGATTGTGTCACTGTTTGTTTTCCTTGAGGCCTGAGAGATAAAGCACATTACAAGATCGACAAATGAGGAACCTGGAACTCGTCTTTCAGATTCAGTTCCTTGAAAGTTGCCTTTAAAGGAATCCTTTACGTGTCATATGGTCAGGGTGATCCAGGCCTCAGCACAGCAGCAGTTTACACTATTTTATTTTGTTTTCTTCAGGCAGAATATGTTCACTTCAACAGTTTGTGGCCGTTCTCAGTGGCAATACAATCCACACTACTTTTAACCAATATTACATTTGAGAAAACACTAAATCTAGTAGTTAAAATTATAATTTACCAATTTTTTTTAGTTTTATTTTTTAAGCCAGTTGTGGGCACCGTTAGTTCTGCGGTGCTCAAACTCCATGAGGTTGTAAAAGACAGAAACTGTAGCAGATGGTGGCTGATAAGAGTTTGGGGTTTATTACAACAAAAGGCGTTTGCACACAACTCAGCAACTTGATACAAACTTACGTGTTAGCCACAGACATGGTGCACAACTTCTTTTTTTTTTTGTTATACAGTTTTAAAGCACACACAGAAAAAAAACATATCAAATAAGAAAGACGCAGGGTTATTTTATTATTTCTGGCATTTTGCAGGCAGATTACAACTGGATCACGTCCCTTGTTTTTCAAACATTTTTTTTCCATTTATCGTGAATCTCAGCTACTACCCAGCAAAGTTTATATCAACATTCATAAAAAAGATGAAGTTAAAGACATTTTTTGTTATTATACAGTGGCCATCTTGAAATAAATTGACTCTAAAGGTTTATGAGTTGTTTATTCAGTGTTTATTTTCAGAAAGTTTCATTAAAATCTATCTGTCCAGTTATTCATGTTTTTTTTGCTAACAGACGGACACATAATAATGATGATGATGATGATGATGATTAAATCCATTTATAGGGCACGTTTACGTTTGTAAATCTCAAAGTGCTCCATCACAAAAGTCATAAGAGCAACAGAAATAAATAACTAAACATGACTAAAATCAGTTAGGTTCATAGAAATGACTAAACAGATATATTTTTATAATTTTTTGAAGGATTCTACAGTCTGTGGTTTCCTTAGATCAGGGGTCTGCAACCTGCGGCTCTGGGGCCACCTCTGCAGTGGCTCTTTGAAAATGTGACCAAACATTTTTTGTTGTTGTCTAATGTTTTTTTTAATACTTAAAACATAACCTGTGCTAGTTTGTTGTTTACTTAAATAATCCAAGTTCTTTCTATGACTTTTCTCTCAAATCCACCAGGGTTATCTTTAAATACCTTTATGACTACATAATAATAGGAATTAGAAAAAAGCACGTTTGAATAGTTGTACTAGTTTTTATGAAATTCAGAGTTAACTATATACAGTATTTTTCTTGTTTACATGAGTCTGGTCTTTATATTTGTCCTAATGTGTAAAGATAATAATAAATAATACAATTCACAATATGTTGTTTAGTTTTATAATGTCACCTCCACTGGCTGTAAAGGTTACTGAAAAGGCCTCCAAAAGGCCCACAGACCACCAGTTGATAATCAGTTGCAGCTTGTCTTGCTGCTCTGGACACATTTTATTAGTGAGCCAAGCAGCAGAAATGGCTCTGTTGATTGTAAAGGTTGCAGACTCCTGCCTTAGATGGTCTGGAAGTGAATTCCTCAGACGAGGAGCAACAGAACAAAAGGCTCGGTCCCTCGTGGTTCTGGAACTTGAAGATGGCAGGAACTGTTTGAACGTTCCAACACACTCACTGACAGTAAAACTATTATCTCCCTAAAAATGTGGTTTGTTGCATCACTGTTAACTGTTCATACATGTACAAACGCATCGATTGTGCATGTATTTAATGCTATCTTCACCCTTCAGTCATGTACAGAACACATTTGCACACAGAGCTGCAAAATGTTTCAGATCTCTCTTCAAACATGTGACAGTTTTCAGTTGTTTTTGCTGCGTTTGCATTTAGTGAATTGATTAATTTCAGTTTTGCTGCACGAGCGCACTCATGTCAACAAAAACGTTGCACAATTTTAGTTTAAAGGGCACTAAAATTAAGTTCTCATTTAAACAAAGTGTTGCAAGAAGACCCATCACTTATTTATATCTCTATTATCCCGGATTAGGACATATTTTAAAGAAATATCTGAGGAAATGTTGTCATTTGGATTAATTTTATGTCAAGGTTGAAGTGTCGATTAGTGTCTGATYTAATGTTAGCGTGCAATTGTTTTGAATCAGAACCCGAGTACACTATGTTGCATGCAGAGCAGGACAAGAAGGTGGTTTTGTGGTGCAGAAATGCTTATCAAGAGAATAAAAGGACAACAAACTCGCATGATAGACAAGTTGGCAAAAAACTGCCTTGACTTTTGAAGAATTGATGGACGCCTCGAGACTTTTGCACGCTTCTGTGCAACGGATCACGTTATAAATTGCACAACTTATTCTAAGAAATTGCTTTGAAGCTGTTTTATTAGCAAAACGAGCTGGCTGTGTTAACATTTCCTGCTGCAAAACTCGACAACGAGAACATTAACAAAGCTGTCAACTCAAAATGTCTCATTATTGCGAAACGCCACGCGTGCATTTCTTTGTACTGTTAGCAAAATATCTCATGAAGCGCTGAATAAATTTTAAAGAAAGTATGTTGACCCGATTCAAAATGGCTGCTGCAGCTAACTGACCTTAGCCTAAACAAACAGGTCACTTTTATCAATATTGATTTAGAATCAACTCTGTTGGTCTGTTAGCAAAACATGTCATTAACCCCTCACACTCCACAAATAAAAAAATGAGTCAAATCAAGTTTTTCAAGAATCTTACCAAGTAAAATTTTCTTACTCCATTGGCAGAAATGTGTTACTTAATTTGAGTCAAATTTTCAAGACAAATAATCTTACACATTCTGAAAACAAGATTATTATTCTTACACAATCAGTTCTTGTTTAGTAAATCAGTCTCAAAACAAGATCAAAAAGCCTTTTTGGCTGGATATAAGATTTTAAAACTTGGTTAGGTGGACAGTTTTTTGCAGTGTAACTAACAGTTTCTCACTTTAGACTGTTCCACACTTCAGTTAGATTGGGTGGATAAAATAAGACTTCCAGCACCGATGTGTTTTTTTAAGTGTAAGTGAAACGTTGTGAAATTCCCTTTTTTGCGATCTGCATCTTTGACCAACAAAGCAGCCTTCATGGTTTGGTGCGACCACAGGGTGTAATAGTACTCTTCACAGCTTCCAGACTAAATGTTGTTGCCCGCCTCAGATCTGCAGCAGCTAAAAGGCACGCTGAAATGGTGCCTCTTAATCATGGCGGCGCACTTCGGCCCGCTCGAGTCGTGGTCTCGCAGCGCGGAGGTCAATTTGTTTTTATTGATTTAACAGGAAAAGATTACTAAAAATCAAGCCTGACTCAGCATAATTGCTGTTTTAGTCGCTGTTCTCGACGCAGCTTATTTTATTTAAGGAGCAAAGAAAACGCAYACTGCTGGTTTTCAATAACCGGCACTGTTTCGTTTCCTAACGCTGAAAAAACCCAGCTGTTGCACAATAACCTGATCAAAGTTTGGATGAAAGCCACAGCCATTTCTCAGCAGATGTGGATTTATTTACTGTCTTGTTATACATATTTTCTGCTGACAGTTATCTTTTTCATTTGCAGACATTTAAAGGGTCACATGGACGTTACCCACAGTGCTGCTGCAGAGGGGGGAATGACACGCATGACCACTGACTGTGGAAAACAGGATACAGGGTACGTCGCAACAGGAAGTGTTGCACTCCTCCTCTGCTGAAAATCAGTTTGGCCAGAATGACTGCAGGTTTGATGTCCACACTCTTTAACTCCTGCAGACGTATTCAAATTTCGTAATCACCTTCACCCATGTCTTCTGAGCCAGGTTGAGTAATTCAGTCGATAAGAAACAAACAACAACAAAACAAAAATAAACAAAAAAAAAAACATGAAACAAGTTTTAGTCAAAGGGTAAAGTGTGGTTTTATTGTTAAATAATGCAAAATAAATTTATTCATTTTTTCTAATGTGACTCAATAATTTATTGATCATCAAAGACAGGCTTATGATGACATTCATTATATAAAAATAGTTGAAAATCAACAATAAAGTGATAATTATTTGAAATTTGCTCAGAAAACTGCACATATTTATCAGTTCAATTTAAAAGAAATAGTCACCAGTATTATATAAAAGAAAAAAGGAAACATTAAAGAGGTAAAACAAAGAAAAGTAGTTTTAGCTCGTTTATTTTTAAAGATTGGAATAAAAATCTAAAGAAAGCAGAGGAAATATAAACTCTTAAACTACAAACAAATTAACTAACATTTCCAATAAAGTCACATTAACCACTAAATCCAACCCAGAACACAATGTAAGAATAACGGAGCAGCATCTCAGAGCAAAGTGAGGAAACGCCCACGGCCTCACTCAGACTCTTACCGTCACCCTCTGGGAAATGAGCTGCGAAGGTGTCTCTGCTGTCGGGGAGATGTTGAGCCGCTGGAAGCAAATCGCCAAAGGTGCTTGAAAAATGCAAGCTTTCTATATATCTCAGAATTAGCAGGGGAACTAAAAACTTCCTTAATTCTACCAATTTAGGTTGGTCCCGTAGGGCTTCTTCTTCTTCTACTACTACTACTTCTTCTCCTCCTTGTTCTTCTTCCTTATTAAAACAAGAAGGTGGCAAAGCCTTCCTTAAAAAAACTGATCAAAACAAGATGTCAAGTGTTTGAGTTCACTTCTGTTGCTGACCGGATCAGTTTCAGACTCTAAAAATATGATTTTACTGATTGTATAAAAAAGACTCATTTAGTGTGCAGTTTTTTATTTATGTCACATTTATTTTTCAAACAACAGATTAAAAGTGAGAAACTACAAATTGTGAGCTGAAAATACCTGAAACTTTCCTGTCATCGTTAAAGAGGAATACAAGAGAAAACAATGGCAGAATGTAATTAACAGAGCAAATTAGAAGAAAAAGTTGACCGAAGAGTTGCTTTTTTCACAGACGAGGCATCCGAGCAACAAACACATCTAATGATGTCAGCTGGGGTCTGCTAACAGATTGCTGTGTTTTAGCTGGTGGGTTACGGTCAAAGCAGCTTATTTTAAAATAAAAAATGAATAAACTAACACATGAAATGTAAAATCACCAAATAAAGTGCACAGCTAAAATGTTTTTAAAAATGGGTTCATGTTTTTGAGAATGAAGAAACATTCCTGTTACTGCAAAGAGACAAGGTGACATAGATTTTTAAAACAATGAGATGTATTTGCTGCAAGATGGTTTTGTAATAAACGGAGAAGCAAAAAATTGATGCAATCTTTTGTGCAAAAGTGTGCAAAACTCTTAGATGCTGCAGGGAAATTGAGCTTTTTTGCCAATTTGCCTGTAAAATCTGGACACTTTGGTTTCTTTTTATGTTTGGATGATTTAAATGTTTGTATTTGTAGCAAAGAATTTCCTAAATAAAATGAAAAGAAACAGTCTCTAAAAGTGGCCAGGGTTAAACTTACAGGTAAAATTCTATACTTTATTTTTCTGAGTGAAAAAAGTTAAAACTCCACGGAATCGTTCAGTTCTGTGAACGGTGGACGGTCAACTTTAAGGCCTGTGTTTCCTGGCTGATAGTCCCCTGAGGTTTCGGTGGCCATCGTGTGTTTCACAACGACGTGGAACGGTGGCTCAGCGTGCTTGTGAGGGGACGTCCAGCCCTCTCACTTCTTTTTCCTGATTCCTCATTTTCTATGGACTCCACAGGCTTCAGCTGTCAGAGCTGGGGCTGCTGGTATTATTAGATCAGGGTGAATCACATGGCACGGACACTCACACACACGCTCACCAACACACACGGATTATTCATAATTTCTGTTTTGTTTGTTTTTCTGTTTTCCACACGACACATCCGTGTCAAACTCTTCATCGGTCCGGTCCAATCTGCCATCTTGGTGTGTTTTTTTTAATACATCTTTTAGAAACTTTTTATTCCCAAACAAAAAACACAGACTTTTGCCCATTTTTACCCATATAAGGCTTTGGGCCCCTGTCCCACCAAACAGCCAAGTTCCTCTTTCTTTATGTATTGCTCAAGTTAGACAAAGATGAGTCAGTGCGGATATTAATCATGCTTTTTTGTTATCTTCACATCTCACTCTGCTAAGTCCGCCAGTCGGTTAGGGTATTTTTTTAAAAATCGAGAACCTAAAATATTGGTTAAACTAATGTGCATATATATAT